CAGTACAGTATGTATTCCTCAGATCGTTATAGGGATAGATGTCCACTTCTCTCTCCGCAACCGAACCAGTGGTCATTTTAGCTTTGATTGACAATTCTTGATTGTTTCCGGACGGATTATAAAATGACTCCCCTTTGCCGTACGCCACCGTTTCTGCACAGCAACCAATGATTTCCACGCCTCAGAGAGTGCATCAATCTGCGCTCGCTCCTAAACAGACTAGCGGTAGGCCATACATTTTGTCACTGCTCGTGCAGCCTCTTTTTCTCACTTTCTACAGCAGTGATCAAAATTATAAAAAGGCATTCAGTGTTGTACATGATCACATAAAGTTTATTATTACTGTCTTATTATTACAGAAATTGTAGTGATTTATTTATGCCTACTCACTTTACACCTACTCTGTAGATAAATTATTTATTTTAAACAATCCTAATCAATAATTTCATTAGGTATTATTTAATAAAATCATATTTCCTTTATACTGTTATGAAAATAAAAACTAATTTCAATCTCTCATATTATCTCTTTGAGATTACAAAATGTTTATTATTATTCCTTTCATTCCGCTTTTAGACTCTCGAAATATAAAAAACGAAACTGTGGATCCTTGTGAAAACTTTTACGAATTTTCATGCGGAAAATTCGCCTCTTTCAAAGAGAATTTAACACATACATCATACATAGACGATAATTTTCAAGATTTCTGTGATGAACTAATCGGTAAGTAAATGTTGTTTCTATTAATAAATAAATATGAAATTACATTAAAGATTATTTATTGCAGGAATCATAAATGAGACAAGGAAATCTGAAAATTTAACAGATCCACTAAAAAATTTCTTCATATTTTACGACAGTATTCAAAATTACGGTAATTAATTTATCCTAGTAAATCTGATATTTATATTAGAAACCAGTTAACTGCGTGTAAATTTTAGCAAACTTTGTTTATTTATTGTTTCCGTATCGCAACGAGATACGTGGACGATGTGTCGAGGGGAAATGAAAGCCGGGAGACTTTCTATAAAATATGGTCCCCTATTTAGGTGTTAAAATCGTGAAGAAAACTCAAAAAAACATCAAATCTCTAGTAGGTGCGAACCCACGACCAACTAGCAATTTTTAATGGTTTTCATCCAATTGGCCACTAGAGGAGAACTTTTTTGTATTAACAATATCATTGACTATTAACTTTAAATTATGACTTTTGCAATGCACATATTCAGTTCTGAGTTGCATATCTTTATTTTCTGTAAATCTTTGTTCATAATTTGCAAGTAATTCAATCTGACATAAAAAATTTCCATTGTAGTTATTCGAAAATTCTTCCCGTTCGCCACGAAAAGCTAATGAATTTTTTGAAAACATTAGTTATACGTTCTAGTACCATTTTTTAGAAAGACGCTTTGTATCGAGTTTCTTCTTCCGTGGCTTTATCAATAGTTTCAAAGGTTTTCCATAATTCTAGAAAAGCACATGTACTGTACAGTACAATACCAGTAGGTTCTTGGGAGGCACTATGTGTTTTTTGTTCTGGAGGATAAACTTCTCTAATCCCATACACTAGTACTCCACTGAATCGAAACATTTGAAAAGAGCCAACATGGATGACAATATGCGGCATTCAAACTAGTTAAATAACAACCATACGCGAGGAAACCGGACCATATTCTATTGTTTTGATTCGGATCTTTGAAAAAATGGTCTCTTAGGTTTATGATAATTCATTACCAATGATCTCTTTTTCTTGTCAGAAATACTTTTATTCAAATAGGTGCCAACGTCGTAAGACAAACTTGCGTCATTGTTTTCAGTCGCATTGTCTATAGTGAGGTTGAGGCCGAAGTTTTCAACGCGAAAATGTCACTCAGCTCCGCTTTCCTGTAAACTTAGAAGTTTGAAATGGCATTTGGAATGTCGAGCATGATTCCACTGACTTTCCAATGTGTAATGGAGGATAGTCTTTTCGGTCTCTATGGAGAGAGCTTACGCTATACAACGACATCAATTGAAGTGATTCCGACCCGAGCGCGAACAGGCCACGCACGACCAAGTACCCCCAATATCAAATGTTCACGTTTGAAACAACACTAATTTTATTAACAAACTTTTGTAATTGAAGCCGATCAAAATATGCTTTGAAACGGAACACAAGCAGGCTCTCCACTCAGTGACCAGGCAAATAATATGATATTCCCATGAGTGACTTATAAATTTTTTTTCTGCCAGTATTTTTATGCTATTTATCTAGACTGTGTTGCTGATATTATGTACTTTTGCTCAGTTTACTTGTCCAAAGCCAGGGCCCCACATTCGTGAACTCTTCCGCATGGCAGACCTTGCTATGCAGTCTCTACAGAGACTATAAATCCAGAATACCCATTAAGTAGACTTAATTCGTTTACTTCTCTTAATGTTACCAATGTGATTATAATAAACGGATACAATTTTATTATATTAATTAAATACAGTAGACCCCCCTAAAACGGGTTAGTATAGTTCGGATTCCTATATGACGGCGAAAAAATTGCGACTGTATTCGTATAAACACACTAAAAGAGACTCATATAATTTAGTAAAATGTCATCACCGACTCGTGTCGCGACAGGATTGGTCTAATCTAGACCAATAGCGGATATTGCACAAACCGTTGAGTTTAAACGAGCAGCGGATCTACTAAAAACCATTTATTATTTAATGGCAATAAAAATTATATTTATATTAATGATGTCTCCAAAGTTCAGCAAAGTTTTTGCAGAAAAATAATTTATCAGGAAGCACGCGAGCANTCCCATTAATTGTAGACTTAATTCATTTACTCCACTTAATGTTACTAAAATGACTACAATAAAAGGATACTATTATATTACATTAATAAAATACATAATAAATTGATTATTTTATCCGTTTTAGAACTTAATGAAACTACCACAATTGAGTGGACCATAAATTATTTTAATGAAAACTTGGGAGGATGTCCACAATTTGATGAAAATTGGAACGAATCTAATTATAATTTAGAAGAAAATTTCGCAAAATTTATTAAATTATCTAAAGACACTTTGATTTCGGTTGAACCAGACGTTAGAAACACAGAAAGAAATATAATTACTGTAAGTTTGTATTATAACTTTATTAACTATAAGTAATGTAATTTCAATAAATAAATCATATTTACCCATTTGCAGATTTCGGCTCCAATTATACCAATAGAATTTCAAGTTAAAACAAATTATTTCGATTGTAAAGAATGTATGAATGGATCTTCGCAAACATATGTAAGTATTTAAATTAGTGTTGCAACGAATAGTATATTCGGTCTCAGGCCAAATACCGAATATTCGGCCAGGAGCATGGCCGAATATTTTGCCAAACTATTCGGCTTAATTAACGCACGTACGAAAATTGGCGCGCAAACCGCATTATGGCAAGGACCATACTCTCTATTGGCCCGGTGTCACTACGCTTCGCCAATTGCGTTAATTCTTGACAGTTGTAGCAAACAGAGATGAGCGTCATGGCAGTATGTGATAAATGATGATATCAAATGTGGATAACAATGAAATGACATACACGTGTAAATAACGGAAAAAGAACAGAGAAGGACTGCGAAGTGAAAATGTGAAAATAAATATGAAATTGAGTTGATAACATAATCAAACAATTCGAGGCAGCTTATTGGTGCGAAATTCGCAGCCGTCAATGCCAAGTAATTGCTCTCATAGATTTCGGAAAGCTAAATGCTTGTAATGAAAGTCACTTACGTGCATGGGCGAAAGCCTGGGGCCGTTCAGGCTACCAAGCGGTTTGGAACTTCAATTATGATAAATAATTTCATACAACGAAACAAAAAAGTTAATTTAATTTTCAAGTTTATAATAAGGGATGATTTCATAATAACGCTTTACAGATCATTAATTATTATTTTTTCACATTTTATGACCTAAGTTTCGATCTAATGTGCCCACGCAGTAAAAATTTTCATACAAATTTTTTACCCTTTTTCACTCCTTTAGGGTTGAATTTCGTAAAATCTTTCCTTAGCACGTCTAAACTTTACAAAAGGAACACACCCTAAAATTTTTAAGTTTCTAGCACCAGTAGTTTTCGCTCTGCGTTAATTATCTTATCAGGACTTGTTCTTTTATGTACGAGTATATAAATGACTAAACTACACAATAAGTAGGTAGTTTTCATATATATTGCGTTTCCTTTGATCTTTTACATAAATAAGCAAAAAATTGCGCTTTCTCGAACTTGAAATGTATGTTAAGCATTATTAAAAGTTACCAAAATGATTAATTTATTGTGTTTTTATTATTTCTCACTCCTTTTCTAGGGATTCGGTATTCGGCCGAATAGCGAAACATAAGCCGAATACCAAATAGTAACCGAATATTCGTTGCATCATTAATTTAAATTAATTACTACATTATTATTGTTTTACTATTTATTATATATTAATAAACAAATTTCTTTACTCGAGGAAAATTACGTAAACAACATAGAACCTGATTTTATGACTGTAGAGGAATTACAGAAATTTATTCCAGAAGTATCTACTTTCTTTTTATAGTTTTTTTAAAGGATTTTTGGCAAAATGATAATTAAATTACTTGAGTAAATTTTTAGATTAATTGGAAGAGTTTATTCAATTACAATTTTGAAGATGTCGACTTACCTGAAGAATCAGATATAACATCTCAGACAGAAATTATGATATGGGGAAAAAATAAATTATTACAGTTTTTCAAGGTGAATAAGACGGAAAGTTTTAAAAGGTAAACCAGATATAATAAATATTAATTTTAAGATTCTGTATTTACGTCTCATGCAAGTATAATTTTAGAGGTAACTAGAAAACATTTTACAGTTTTTTGGCCGATTATTTCTGCAAATCTTTCTCTGAGTCGATCGTTGCTGACATGAATAGAACATCGTCTTTGCATATTCTTGACATAATCGGAGAATACACTTATTTCCTAGATTATATATATTATCAACATGTGAAATATGATGTAAGTACACTTTTATGAATTATTTTTTCGATTTGAACAAGACATTTAAAAATAAAAAAAGTATTAATTTTCTATATTCAATTTACATATAAAATATTTCTTTTCTTTTAATATCTATTAAAATGCTTCTCTTTTTACGGGAGATCCTCGTGTACGAAAACTTGTTTGGATGTGTAGAGCTGTAGTCAGATACTAGGAATAAAATTTGTTTAGCGGAGTTTTTGTATTTGGTTTGTTTTCTTATTCTTCCATATTTGGTGATTCGTAAGCGAGTTAATTTATATGGAGTCTCTTTATTTTCTTATATGACCAAGGAGTGGATCCTCTTGGCATTTTTCTTATCTAATTTTAGTGCAACTTCCAATCAGTGCGGTACTACTTCTACCGCTGTCTATTTCATTTAATTATTTCCATGTTTGGAAAATGTCGCCGACAAACTTTCCAAACTTCGATTGCATCTTTCAAAATTATTATAAAACAAGCGAAACAATGCAAACTCCTTTCCCGGATATAACCATTCCAGATTTTATCCTATGGGATCAACTGTGTATGATGCCCACCCGACAGTGTCGGCGATATTGACGAATTGAAGAATAGCATACGAGAAGTCTGTAAAATGGTGACACCTGGGAGCTACTGAACCCTCTACGCTCTACTGTAAACGTTTTGGTATTAGTGCTGACGGTGGACGTTTCGAACATATTCTCTAACAAAATAAAGCTCACTTCATTGTATCGACTTCTGCGATGTTGTCTTTAGCCTTTACAGTAAGAGATTATTTGAGTGTTATATTTTATGATAAATTATCTTAAATTAATTCTCTTTCATAACGAAAGAGAATATGGAACTGGAATAAACATGCAATAAATGGATACATTCCTGGAATGTTGAAAAGATCTCTTTTGCCTGTGGATAGATGTTTACATAGAAGTGATTAATTTTAGCATATTTTACAGAGAAATACTATCTCTAATTTAGCAGCATGTTATTCATTATAAATGATTCCACGTTGAATTAAATTAGAAAATGTTGATTTATAAAGCATACTTACTTAATATTAAAAATGCACATAATTTAACACAAAATGTTAAATTATGTGCATTTTTACAAGTATTAATTATTGGACTTCGAACTCGCATTTGAGTTATAAATAAACACTTGGCTTTGTTTCCATCATTTTAGTTGATCAACTAAAATGATGGAAATAATGCCAAGTGTTTATTTAAAACTCAAATGCGAGTTCGAAGTCCAATGTATTCAAAGAACACGGTTTCGAAAACAACAAAGTATTAATTAATTAAATTTAATTTAACAATGTATGATTCATACTTAATTATAAATAATGTAGTTTAAATTTCTAATTTCTTAGGAAAAACCAGATCTTGTTAAGGAAATTACCGAACATATTCATGAATTTATGTCAAACTCATTAAGCAATAAAACTTGGTTGGATGATGACACGAAAACTAAATTCAACGAAAAAGTAAGTTATAGAAATAGACATACTTTCCTGTTTATTTATATATAATATTTAAATGCAAAATATTAATTAAGTAGCAGATTTAATTAGTTATTATTTTCAAAATATAAGTTTAATTTTTGAGTCATTTAAGCAGCGATGTAAAATTTTGAAGCAAAGTACTACGACTAATGCCTTTTCATGAAAACATTAGCGAGGTTGCGGCCGAAGTTTTCATCTCTCAAACGTGAACGTCGAACGTCCACGTTTTAAAGATGAAAACTTCGGCCGCAACCTCTCTATTAAATTAAATTACTGAATTTATTTAATAAAATTCTTTAATATTTAACAAGATTTAAATGTTTTAATTTTCATATATTTTTAGATTAAAGAAATGATAATAACAACAGACTTTCCCGAATTTGTTAAAAACGATGACTCATTTATGGAATATTATAAAAATGTGCGTACTACAATGAATTTTAATCACGGAACTATAAATTGTTAAATTGATGAGATATATGAAATACGAGAGAAATTGTATTATTTTTATTAACTTTGAAATTTTATATTATTTATTAGTTTCCAAATATGACTTCGAATTTTGAAGAAAATTATATCAATGTGATTATATTTAAAAACGTAAAATTATTTGAAAACTTTGGTAAAAACAATACTAGAGAAGAGTAAGAAATTTTATACTTTTTAATCGATTAAATAATATTTTAAACTTTTGTTTGAAGTTTTTTTTTTAATTTTATATCCGCAGATTCATAGATGATTCAACAATGATTTTATCTCCAAACTATCATTCAAGATTTAATAAAGTTTGTAAGATTTAAAACTCATTTTTAAATCGATTAAATCCTTGCAATTTCTATAGCTTTTATATATATACATGTAAGAATTTAATTATATTTCAGTTATGACTCAATTTTCTCAAAGTAAATCCATATTGAATATTAATTTCCCTATGTAAGTAACCTAAATAAATTTGTTATATATTATCTTTAACTATATATACTTTAATTATAGTAAACTTTTTCAGATAAAGATAAGTTTATAAATTGATGAAAGAAGTAGACCATCTACTAAAATATTTATTGGTTGAGTTAGAGTAATTGTAGTCGCGTTTATCTAGTGGGAAAACACAAATTTAACATAAAAAACAAAACGTGCTGTTGTAACACGTTATCAAAAAAAGGCAGAATTAACTATTTCTAACGTGATATAAAATTAGATACTCTTTTCGTTCACTAATGGTTAGTCTACGTCAGCGTTTCTCAAAGTGGGCGATAACACCCCCTTGTGGGCACTGGAGGCTTTCAGGGGGGCAGTAGAAGACTCAAAGAGAATTGGGGGGCGTTAAGGAAATATAGAGGGGCGACGGCAGACAAATTCTATATATAAAAATTCGACGGAATATATATAAAATGTTGACATTTTATATATTTTTTATTTTTTATTGAAGGTCACAACTTGAATTTTTCTAACACATTGACTTTTATTTTAGCTCAGCGTTTCTCAAAGTAAGCAATAACGCCCCCTTCTGGCGCGATGAATAGATCTATGATAGAGGCAGGATACTGAACGGTGACCAAAGGCAAAATTGGGGCTGATAAGAGGAAACATTGCGTTTAATAGTTTCCAGATGATGAGAACAATGTACAGTAAGGGCACAAAGTGTGAGATTCATAGAAAAGTTTTCCTAAGAATATTTCCAATCCTTTTCTCACACAAGAGAAAATGGGTTAGGGGGCGTTGGGTATAACTTTATGGAACAAAGGGGGCGGTGGATCGAAAAAGTTTGAGAATCACTGGTCTACGTGAACGTTTCATCGAACGTATTGTGAAATAATCATTCGAGATATTACAAACTCTACACGTATAAACGACTATGTTTTGCCTGAATGCTTCCCTCAGTTTTTGATGATTCAGTATGGAAGAAATGACTATTTTTAGCTTTACTTTACTTTAAATGGACAATCATCTTTAATAATGTCATCAGAAGCAGAGTATGGCACCTTTTTTGTGAAATAAGTAGAGAGGTCGCGGCCGAAGTTTTCATCTGTAAAACGTGAACGTCGAACGTCGAGCGCTACATACAAGATAGCGGCGCTCGACGTTTGACGTTCACGTTTTAAAAATGAAAACTTCAGCCTCAACCTCGCTAATATTATTGTACAATATGTAATTAATTGTGTGGATTGTAATTCATATTTGCAGATACAATACTGTATATAATTTTATTTAATTTCTAGAGTTATACTTTTTGTATATCATAATGTTTGAATTTGTATAAATTGAAAGTATATATATAACAAGAGTAGCCAGACCTTGTGACGATAAGAGCCAATAATGTTAATGTTATAATATTAAAGCAATCAAAAGGAACGAAATAAAACACAGAAAACTACTAGAAATGTAGTATATTTTGAGAATTTTATATTTATTTATGCCATCCATCTTCTCTATTTTAGATAATGTCTTCTATTTGTTAAAAGTCATTGTTATAAAACTAGAAATTTTCCTGTCAAGCATGACGGTTTACTTTCTGTGAAAAAATAGAGATAATAATTTTATTATGATAATAAAAAAATAAATAATACAACATGGTATATCTGTGGAGAAAAAAGACAATAAACGAAACCATAGACTTAGATAATACAATTAATTATTACAAAATCTATCTCTTGTTTCCACTTCCCACTCTTACAGTTTGTGAAGCAATTATTACAATGGTAATGACATCTTTTAAAATAAATTCTCAAATAATTTCAACGTTCTTCTATAACTTCAAATAATTAGTTTCATTTGCGGAATTACAAAGCTAAAACCTGTAATGGAAGATAACTAATTTTTATTTAATTTATTGTTAGATATGCGAATTTTGCCCGGTATGGTACAATGTTAGCACATGAAATTACCCATTCTCTGGATACAGAAAGTAAGTTTTAATTTATCCACATTTTTTTATGCCTTTAATTTTTCAATACCTATAAACTAAAATGGTAAATTCACATATTTTATATTATATATTAAAGTTTATAATAATTTAAAAATTGGTCTTTATCAAAACAAATCTTTATGGAAATAGATGTAGGCCTACAATGAAATTATTGCAGGTCTACATCTATTTCCATAAAGATTTGTTTTGATAAAGACCAATTTTTAAATTATTATAAACTTTAATATATAATATAAAATAAGAATAAATCTATGATAACTTTAATCGCGCGAAGATAATTTTACTGTTAATTGAAACATGTAGCCCATAGTCATTCTAAGTGTCTAATGCAACTTTAATTTAGAAGAAAGAGAAATAACAAAGTTGCTGTGATACCAGAGGATCTCACCTACTCACCATATAATTGCATAAGTGCATAGAAATATTCTAACTTTCGACATTAAGTTTTGATTACATTTGATTAAACAATTTAATAAAACTACTAATTTTATTTCCATAAATTAGATATTCGTACAGACAAACTTGGAAATTTAAATATTAATGTCACATGGTCAGAAGAATCACTAATGGAAT